CAGAGCTTTGCTAGGACTGGAAGCCTTTGCACTGTTCCGCTAAATGAGATCCAAGGTCTGCCAGCTCACAGTTGGTCTTTAAAATCGTGTCATTCTGATTATCATTTTGTGTTTCTCTATATTCCCTTAGATACCGACAAGATCTTGTCAAATAAGTTCTTGTAAATAAAGGACTACAGGAAACCAATGCAGGGTACCTCATGAAGACTTAATGAGGGCACAGTATGCCATTTCTGAGAGACTGCATGTCACAGGATTAGAAACTTCTGTTTCTACTCTGGTTATAGACTTAACAGGCATTGCAAAAGATGGAACAGAATTTTGTAGTCATTGTTCTTTTAATTTTATTTCAGTCTCTGGAATTCCAAAAGATTTTGACCGTTGATGTGATTCTTGATTTCTCAGTTTAACTGTTCAATCTTATTACTAATCCCTAACTGGATACACCAAGCCTCCAACCACAAAAATCAGTGCAGCAGACAAGAAACATTAAGATAATTATAATGATCATAAGTTAGTTTTTAGAGATAATTTCACAAAGTAGGTAGGAGAATCTAGGTCCATGTCTGACACTGAAAGCATCATGCAAGCATCAAAACAGAAGACCTTTCTGGTATTATGTCTGCTTGTTAGTTGAAGAAAGGCAGGCTTCCAGATTGGCTGTCCAAAGATGTCTAAGTGTTTGTCTTTTTATGCTCATAACCATTAAGTATGAGAAAAGTTCAATATCTGAAAATTTTCTTACTGTAGTCCTCTTGCTTCCTGCATGTACCACAGAAGTCTCCCAACCTTGCAAATGGTTTCTATTAAATACTAATGGTGATATCATTAAAATTTCCCCGTTAAACAGTCCAAAGAAAAGCATCATCCTTTGAATGCCTTTTAAAAATCTCAGTAAAATTACTCTATGTAACTGGGTGAGAGGTTGTTTATTCCTTTTGATGGTATCCTCCAGGCAATAGATGAAAACAATGTATGTTGAAATAGTGCTGTCTTACTGCAGTTATCCATGATATCAATAGACAGAATTTCTGAATTACTTCATCTGCTTAAGAAGAGGGGAATTCAGAAGACTAACCCATTTTATACTATTCCTCTTAAAACTCAAAAAAAAACAACAGTCCAAAAATTGACAAATCCAAGAAAAACTTGCAAGCACACAGTTTTAGTATGTTATCATGACAAATTTTTTTGTTGTTGTTGCTAAAAAAATTAAGAATGGGAAAAATAGATGGAAAATGAGGTATGAAATGCAGTACTTACCCACTGATATAAAATTCAGTCACTAAGGATCACATAATTGTTATCATATATGATAGACGTTTTACTACTTTTTATTTGGGCAACACTGTAAATTGGAACAGTGTTTCTAAATTCATTAGGAAAGCAGCCCTCTGCTAAAACCTGGTAATGTAATTTGGATAGGTGGTAAAGAAGCAGCATGAGGTTAAAGACAATTTATAGAACAGAACACAGTAGTGGAAAATTCCTTACAAGAAATGTTGGAAATGAAGGAAAGAGGAATTTAAAGCCTGTGCACACTCGGTCACTCCCTGTGGGGATGGGGGAGTGAGTCAGAAGGGTGAAAGTGAGGAAACTCATGAGTTGAGATAAAGACAGTTTAATAGGGAAAGCAAAACTGTGCACACAAGCAAAGCAAACCAAGGATTTCATTCACCACTCCCCACGGTCAGGCAGGTGTTCAGCCATCTCCAGGAAAGTGTGACTGCACCACATGCAACAGTTACTTGGGAAGACAAGCACCACCACTCCAAATGTCCTCCCCTTTTTTCTTTCCCCAGCTTTATATGCTGATCATGATGCCGTATGGTGTGGGATATCCCTCTGGTCATTTGGAATCAGCTGTCCTGGCTGTGTCTCCTCCCAACTTCTCCTACACCCCGAGCCTCCTTGCTGGTGGGGTGACGTGAGGAGCAGAAAAGGCCTGTGTAAGCACTGCTCAGCATTAACTGAAACATCCTTGTGTTATCAACACTGTTTGCAGCACAAATCCAAAACACAGTCCATACCAGCTGCTATGAAGAATGTTAACTCTTAATCGCAGACAAAGCCAGCACAGGGAGACAGGAAAGAGTGCAAGTGAAATCCAGTAATAAATGGCATCTTAGATGCTGTTCAGTGTGAAACAGCATATTTGTACCATATTATAGTATTTGAAAAGTTCTAAGATTTAAAGTGTCCCTGACAAAAACAATTTAGGATGCTTTGAGACTGATAAGTCTGGAGGAAATAAGACAATAATCTGGGGGAAAGTATAGCTCATGGTTAAAGTATGGGAATGAGGTGAAAACTGGAACGTAAGTGATGAAAGACTGTACTGGAAAAGAAGAACAAGGCTAGGAGCAGGGGGCAGGGGGAGAAGAATGTAGATAAAGAACTGTGAGAGGTAACAAGAGTAAGGAAGAGAGGTGAAAAGAAATAAAGATGCTATTTTTAATAGGGCTTGAAAGTGTGTTCTATATTGTAGGCATAAGAAGTGAACCCTTCAACTGCTGTTGAACTACTCCCAGTTGGATGCTTCTTTGCTGCCTTTGCATTTTGTATCCGTATGTTACGTATCTGTGTTCCAAAGTTATAAGTGGGCATGGAGTTATGCCTGCCTGGAAATTCCTCCTGGAATTTCTTTTATGCAGAAAGATTTTGTTTAGACTAGCTTTCTGCTCAGTCTTGGAACAGAGCAAGATAATTTGAGGGTCAATGTGACGTGTCACGTCTCTTGAAAGAATCATCAGAGTAAGCACTAAAGCAAGGAATGTCTCTTGTGTTTGTCTGCATGCATGTAGCAAAGCAGTTGATGAATTAGCCCCCTTCAGCCACCACCACAAAAGCAGAAGTTCAGGTAAGGTGAGCGTGACCTGACTGTGCCAGATCATTAAAGGAAAAAGCAGTGGTCTTCTGGTGGAGAGCCAAAGAGCTTGCAAGGGAGTGGGGATTAAAAAACCATATGCTTGCTCAGCCTTAGTGGTTTGACTAGCATGGCAGCAAAACAATGAGCTCATTCCCTGGCATACCCTAGGAAGACAGACAGAAAAGCAGCCATAGGGTCATTTGGCATTTCAGAGAAGGAGGTAAAAGGGCAGTATAATGGACAAGTAAATTTGACTGGAGGTCAGAGCCTGGAATCCTGATTGCCCATTGCAGCTCTCCAGGCTGGGAGGCTGGTATTTTCACCTTTCTGTCTGTCTTCACATCAGCAAAATGTGAATGTTATTAATAGCTTTTGCAGGTAGCTTCTGATACTTAATTCAGTAACAATTCTGAAAAGTGGAAAGTCACCTGGAAACATTACACACTTTTTAACCCCCTTGTTTGTACATTAGAAAGCCTCATGTGTACAACCATTACATTCAGTATACAGATGGCAAATTTAGACTGTAATTGTTTTCATAAAGCCAGTAGTGTGAGCATTTCCATCAACAAACAGAACAAAAGCATTAAGCCTGCCATATACATACCTTGGAACTGGTCCCTGAAGTCGTTCAAGCTCCTTTGTGTGCAGATGGATAGACAAGAGAGACAGATATTCCCAGCCAGAAGGGAATGACCGTGAAAGAGACTTTATATTATGTACATATATGCATAGTGCTTAATAATAAAATCTTGCTTTAGTAATAGCAAATGACTGTTCTTAAAGTCTCTGGTTTGTGTATGACAGTGTAGGGCTATAAACTGGAGAAAAAGAAGAGGAAAAATATGATCTAATAGTAATCTGATGTCAGTTTGCACCCAGTATGCCTAACAGTTCTTCAGTGTGCTCATATTCAGGAGGAGAATGATGGACTAAGTGAAGTCAGTGCATTCCCATGAGTTTCTTTATACTCCTTACAAACTGTGGAGTACCAAAACACAAGGCTGAAGTGGGGACATGAGGCAGTGGGACAGGGAGTGAGGTGGGTCATGCTTGTGTGCCCACTGTTGCTATGATACAAGTTTCTTCTTTAATTTCTTTTTTTCCCTCCCACCCTATACTGTGCCCCTTCCCTGCACACCCTATTTTGATATGGTTTTGCCTGTTGATCCGTCTGACCCTGGAGGAGCTGGAAGAAAGCAGTGCCTATTAGGGGCTCATTGAATGCACTTCACAGGGGATGGCTCTGTGTACGTGTTAGAGGGTCGCTAATGGGGCATACGAATAGCTGAGGGTCATGTCTCATTGCCATGGCAAGCCAGATTTCTTCACATGAGCTGGGTGCATTCATGTAGAGGAAGAGGCTTTCAGTTTTAATATACCCTAAACTGTCTTTCTCCACTACACTGGACTTGGTTGCTCTTAAAAACTGTACCCCATGCTGCTCTCAGTCTAGCTATTAAAATTCATCAGATACCCTAAGCTGCAAGTTTTCAAGGGTGTTGTTTTGGTTACAGGTTCTTAACTGCTGCTCATCTCCTGCTGATACTGCAGTAAACCTGCCAAAAGCCTTCTTTTGCAGATAGAAATGAATCTGGATTAGTTTCCAGACATTCTGTCAAGAAGTTGTACAGCACATAAGCTCCAAAAAGCGAGGGTTTTTTTCATGACCAATTCTGTACAGGCAGTTGTCTATTTTTGTCCACATATGGTTTGTTTTTCTGAAAAATTTCAAATAATTCAAATGTACATTTCAAATGAGGATGCTTAAGAGCCAGAAACAGCTACTTCATTTTACACACGGCTTTAGTGGTTCAGTATGGCTGGACGCTTCCCTTTTTGATTGCTTAGCATGAAGAGTAATCAGAATGAAAAATAGGCAGAACTAGAAATTTTCATTTAATATGGCATTTACATTATTTTCTGTCTAAATAAGATATAGATATAATATCAATACCTTATTAAGATATATATATAAGGTCAATACCTTATTGATCTTATATAGTTGCTATCCAAATCAGTATGTTCATGTGCTGGTTTAAACGGTAATGTTAATGTAAGTAGGATAATATCTCAACCCCACAGTACTCACTAATCTGCAACATCCAACATCTTTATCTTCTCTCCCCAGCACTGCAGCGATAACACCCACCATTGCCAGTCAGATATGAACATAGTAGGTGCTTGGAAGAGAGGTTACACTGGAAAGAACGTTGTGGTCACCATCCTGGATGACGGCATTGAAAGAAACCACCCAGATTTGATGCAGAATTACGTGAGTGTCCACAGGAGTTCAGATTTTGTGCTTTATTATTACCCCAAATAAATTTGTTGCTCCTGGAAAGATAGAAGGAGAGAGGGAATAATGGAAGGAATTAAAATGGAGGGGAGGAAGGGAGAAGGGAAGGAGGAAGAATCTTACGGGGTTTCCACAAACATTAACACCAGTGGGAGGAAGGAAGAAAACTTCTGGTAATCTGTATTGTTCTAGTTAAGACTGTGTTCCATCTGAACATACTTAGTATCTGAATGCCTGTTGTAGCTGAATTTCTGAAGGACAAGAACCAATCATCAGGTGCTTTTTTTCTTTTCTCTAATTATTTTACTTAATATCCTTATGCTCTAGGAACTTAGAAATGGAATACACTGCCTTTCAATGCATGCAGCTGAAGTCTGTTTTTGGCCAGCAAAGCTAGCAAAACAGTAGCCTTTCTCAAAGGCTGTAATTTTAGGCATGTCCTTCCATGTATTTATTTTTAAAGGTATTTATGATACTGCTAGAAATCATATTAAAGGAAAAGAACATTACTTACTATGATTCACTCAGTTAAAAACAAATGTAGACTATTTGGGGGTCTTTCTAGTAAGTCCTTCTTAACTCCAGTGAGTCCCCTCACAATTTGTAATGGGGCAATCTTTGTTTTCTGCGTCCTGTGTCTCACGTCGCCCAGGAAATTTCTGTTTGCTTGTGGTTCATCATATTTGAATGATTAGCTTAACATACCTTGGAGGGTTCTGTAACTCAAGAAGGGGCTCCTTCCCTAGTGGGTGACTTCTTGTGTTAGTGTCAGAGTTTGAAGCTGCTTGGAGCATCAGGGCCATGCTTTTCTAGAGTGATTAGTCCTGTGGTTTTGGGAGTAAGGCATTACCTGAAAGCACGTGACTTTGAGTACATTCTGATTTCTCTGGAATAAAGTATGCAAGGTGTACATTCACATAAGATAAGAAAATAAACAAATATACATGGATTGGGCCAGACTGGGGAAGATGACCAACTCAAGGCAAAGTTTACCTTCACTCCTATTACACAGATCTTGAAAAAGAGCCCTGAACACAGGGAGCTTTTCACCTTGAACAGAGCATTGCAGAGATGAGGGTAATAAAAATATTTTTAACAAGCCATCAAAAGCTACAATTGTGTCCACAGTTTAAAGCCACTTATTCTAAATTAGCCATACTTACATCCGTATCCTTCCCTATGCTGCATGTGGAACTCAGCTTTGAAATACATGAGGACTGCACAAACACAAGTGACAGCAGCTGCCCTATTTGTCTGTATGCTTGATCCTAATGTATGCCACATCTTTCATTTCAATCTCTTACATTATTTAAACAAACCAAATATAATTTTACCTTCTCAGTGAATGACCCAGATTGTATCATGTCACCTCATCCCAGTACTGTCCTTACACTGAATTTAAAGCAGCTATTTATTCCCTTACCACCTCTCTCCTTTTCCTCTCACCAATAAGGAATTTCCCCAAAGCAATACACATTGCTTGTTTGATGACAAATGCCTTCTATATGTTGGATTATTGCTGGTGTGGCTGCAAGCAGGAATATTTGAGGTGGATGTGGTAACTGCTTTTGAGCAAAGAAGAGATTAAAAAGATCTTCTTGCCATGTCAACACACCACATGCTACCGCATCGATTAATGGGAGCCATACAAACCAGCAGCTATTTACTCTGTGAACTATTTTCAGCTGTAAGAATTCTGGTAAATGTGAAATATGGAACAAAGAGGTAACTTGCAAATATTTGAAACAGTTGTGCTCCCAGGGAAATGTGAATGCTGTTTATACTGAATGTCAAGTTGTATTTTTATAACAGTATTCTTAAGAAAAATATATTATTTCTTGAAACTATTACTGATATTTCAATCATCATTGTGTCAATAATTTCTTGAATCTTGAAACATTTAGCAAAATATCAATTTTGAGAATGAACCCTCTTTAACTTCCAGAAGTTTCTTAGAAGAATTTTAGTCTTCTGGTTAAATGAAACACCACTTTCTAGCTCCTCTCTGATACTGGAACTATGCTTTTTTCTTTTCCAAAAATAAAGTAAAATAGTAACTCCCATAATTATTAAATAAAAAATCCTTTCCTAAAACATGCAATCATCACAAAACCACAGGAATGTTAGTTAACCTAATTACTCTCTTGTAGGAACCTGCTGAAGAATGTATAGGCCATATAAGTCAACGGTTAATTAATGAGAAACTGGTTTTCTTTGTCCTGTTTGCTGTAGGATTCGCAGGCCAGTTTTGATGTCAATGGAAATGATTTTGACCCTATGCCTCGATATGATGCCAGCAATGAGAACAAGTAAGGCACTGTGACATTCATGATATTTTCAATCTAGTTCATCAAGTGGAAAGCACCAGTTCTTCTACAAAAGTCTAGGGAACTTGACTCCTTATAAAGCACTGTGATTTGCATTTAACCTTTGTGAAATATGTATTTATTTCTCTTCCATGCACACTGCATGACACTTACTCGTTGAAAGCATTTGGAGCCATCCAAAACCACATAAAAATCAATTGGAGAGTTCTTGTGAAATGTGAATTTTACAAGAACTCTTGTTCTCGTGAAAATAATAATTTTAATCCATTTGGGATGCAGAATATAAGGTGTTACTCTTAGTTTTCCCAGGTATCATCTCATTGAGGTACTGGGGGGGGGTCGTAATTTGTGACAACTGTCTTAGCTTCTGACTCTCTTGAACTTTATAGACTTACTGTGTTGAAGAAATATATAAGTTAGTGAAGGTCTGTTTTCTTTAATAATGTGTTTTAAAGTGATGGAGATTTTATATGCGGAGGCTTAATAGAGACTTTATAAACCCAGAAGTGGCAGATTGTAGTATCCGTTCACATGACTAGTTGGATATATCTCAATGAATGACACATTTCTCCTGCAGAGCTCTGCTTTCTGTTATTTATCATTCCAGCTGTGTTCTTTGGATGTGCTGTTGTGAGGGCTGGGGAAGATATCAGGAGGGCCATCTCGCCTCAGGAAGCATGCCACTTTTCTGCCCCCATGGATATTTGAAGGCATTTACTTATTGGTAGCATTTTTTTAACTAGAACAGAAAGAAATACCTTTCTGTGAAACTGCATGAGTTAGAGGAAGGAGAATCCTACTAGTTGTCAACATATTGACTGTGTATTTTGCTTTCTTATGGTTCATTTTGTTGGGTTTTTTTTAATTATGGAAAGCATTTAGTATTTTCTTCCTGCAGAAGAGACACAAGAGGTGAAACTTCATCTTTTACACAACTGAAATGCTTTTGTGTTTATGTTGTTTCTTCCCTACAACCCCACGTTTTCCAGAATAGTGCAGCAAGAGCCAGGAGTCAGCAGCAAAACATTGGCTTCACTGGAGAATCCATTTAGGCAACCTTGGATCACACTTTGATGGAACAATCCTCTCTGATCAACACCTTTTTCATAACACCTGGACAGGGCCTCGTTACACATAGCTGCTCGTTACATATAGAATCATAGAATAGTTAGGGTTGGAAAGGACCTTAAGATCATCAAGTTCCAGCCCTCCTGCCATGGGCAGGGACACCTCACTCTAAACCATGTCACCCAAGGCTTTGTGCAGCCTGGTCTTGAACACTGCCAGGGATGGAGCATTCACAACCTCCCTGGGCAACCTCTTCCAGTGCCTCACCACCCTAACAGGAAAGAATTTCCTCCTTATATCCAATCTAAACTTCTCCTGTTTAAGTTTTAACCCTTTACCCCTTGTCCTGTCACTACAGTCCCTAATGAAGAGTGTCTCCTCAGCATCCCTATAGGCCCCCTTCAGATACTGGAAGGTTGCTATGAGGTCTCCACGCAGCCTTCTCTTCTCCAGGCTGAACAGCCCCAACTGTCTCAGCCTGTCTTCATATGGGAGGTGCTCCAGTCCCCTGATCATCCTCATGGCCCTTCTCTGGACTTGTTCCAACAGTTCCATGTCCTTTTTCTGTTGAGGACACCAGAACTTCACACAGTACTCCAAGTGAGGTCTCAGGAGAGCTGAGTACAGGGGCAGGATCACCTCCTTTGACCTGCTGCTCACACTCCTTTTGATGCAGCCCAGGATACGGTTGGCTTTCTGGGCTGGGAGTGCGCACTGAAGCCGGCTCATCTTCGTTTTCTCATCAACCAACACCCCCAAGTCCTTATCCTCAGGGCTGCTCTGAATCTCTTCTTTGCCCAGCCTGTAGCTGTGGATTTGCCTGTGCCTGGGATTACTCCAACCCAGGTGTAGGACCTTGCACTTGGCATAGTTAAACTTCATGAGGGTGGCATCAACCCACCTCACAAGCGTGTCAGGGTCCCTCTGGATGGCATTCCTTCCCTCCAGCATATCAACCAAACCACACAGCTTGGTGTCATCGGCAAACTTGCTGAGGTTGCACTCAGTCCTAGTGTCCAGGTTACCGACAAGGATGTTGAACAAGACTGGTCCCAACACTGATTCCTGAGGGACACCACTCGTTACTGGTCTCCAAATGGACATTGAGCCATTGACCACAACTCTTTGTGTGCAGCCATCCAGCCAGTTCTTTATCCACCGAGTGGTCCATTCATCAAATTGATGTCTCTCCAATTTAGAGACAAGGATATCGTGTTGGACAGTGTCGAACGCTTTACAAAAGTCCAGGTAGATGACATCAACTGCTCTACCGCTGTCCATCAGTTCTGTAGCCCCATCATAGAAGGCCACCAAATTGGTCAGGCAGCATTTCCCCTTAGTGAAGCCATGCTGGCTGTCACCAAGCAGCTTCTTGTTTTTCATGAGCCTTAGCATGGCTTCCAGGAGAATCTGCTCCAAGATTTTGCCAGGCACAGAGTTGAGACTGACTGGTCTGTAATTCCCCGGGTCATCCATTTTCCCCTTCTTGAACATGGGGGTTATATTTCCCTTATTCCAATCGTCGGGAACTTCACCTGACTGCCATGATTTTTCGAATACGATGGCCAGTGGCTTAACAACTTCATTTGCCAGCTCCTTCAGGGCCCGTGGATGGATTTCATCAGGTCCTATGGACTTGTACACGTTCAGGTTTTTAAGCTGGTCTCGAACTACATCCTCTGCTACTACGACCCATGGCTTTTTCCTGGCAGCACCAGTAGAGATCTTCTATACTTGTGCATCAGCCGGCTGTTTCTGGTGCAAGGGTGTGTTTCCTTATTAGCCTCCTGCAGGACAGCAAAGCAGTTCTGCATGGGGGAGCAGGTTTAGGAGGAAGTCCCTTGCTTTTAGTTGTCTTTTTCCTCCTTTTTTTGTTGTTCTTTTTTTTTTTTTGTTTCCACTAATTCCCAGCTTCCCGCGTTAATGACCTTCTTTTTTCGTCCATGAGCTACAGGGGAAGCTTGAGGCCCCTGCACAGTTTGGGCCTGGAGCAAGCATTCCTGCTTCCTCTCAGCTTCCCTGACATCTTGTAGCCTATTAATAGCTTCCTGCAGCTCAGTCACCTGCTGCAGGAGAGCCTCCACCAGGGAGCACCGAGTGCAGCCCTGCCCATTGTGCACCTTTCCCTCACCAGACCAGTGCAGGCACTCTACACCCCGAGCTCTGCACTGCAGCCTCCCCTCTCATCGGCCCTGCCTGGGTGCCTAAGCTGACCACCACCAAGACAGCCAGAGCAGAGCTCCCAGACCGGGCCCTGGTCATACGACGAGTGCTCACCATCCTGCTCGAACTTCTGCTCAAACTGCCTCGACCCACCCTGTTTGCCCGCTCTGTTGCCATCCTCCTGATAACTCGCGCTCCCTGGGGCAGGTTTTTAACCAGTCAGGTCTGGTGCTGCTGCTCCTGGCTCCATTCTCTGTGAGTCCCTGCTCGCATCAGCTGAGCTGCCGGCTCCCGGGCAGGTCCTGTGGAGGACTTGAGGCTCCCTCAGTGGCTCTTGTCGCTCTGAGTTGAGGCTCCTGGATGCTGATCTCCCCCTGCTCCAGTGTTGAAGGCGTCCTCTCTTGAGCTACTCACCTCAGTAATTCAATATAGATACACTCATCTTACAGCAGAAAGCTGGTGAGAACAGCTGTAACTATTCTTATAATAACTGTGAAATAACTGTGAAAACTGAGGTGAATTCTGTCAAGTACTTGTTTGGTCAGTCAGCCTGACCCTGTGTGGTAGGCTGAGATGAGAAACATGTAAGGATTTAGCACATAGAAGCTATGTAAATAAATGCACGTATATAAGGCATACATCTTAGTTGTGATAATTAGGAAATGCCCTTTAACATAGAATCATACTATGTTAGCATTAATTTGAATAATAATAATATTTTTTTTGTGATTGCAGTCTTTGCATATGTTCTCATTAATTGCTCGTATTTGACACTGTTTACATGCTGCCAAATAGTTTTGTCTAGAAACGAGTACATGCAAGAGCTTGTTCTTTCCTTTTTTTTTTCCCTTTTGCCTATTAGGCACATCTTTCTCATCCTATTTTCATACAGAAGCTCAGTTTACTGAATCTTATTTGCCTTTTCTTCACTAGAAATCTCCTAAAGCAAGTACACCATGAGAAAATAAAAAAAGAAATTCAGTAAAGTCTTCTGTTTTAAAAGGTGTAAACGTTCTGCACTTGCAGGCTAGTTTAAGCAAAAAGAAAACACTGATGTAGAAGAAATGGTGGATAGAACCAGTTGTGGCATTGCCTCAATTAAATTACTTGTAAACTGAGAATTTCAGAGCTAGATGGTCATATGGAAAATGCTACTACTACACTGAGGTTGTTGGGAGGTATGCTCAAAAAACATGTTCATTGAAACAGAAGAATGAATAAAAGTCTTTTAAGCAAATAATACACCTATCCACACCATGAGCAGCCAATTTATCCAGGAGAACACTATCAGACTGTGTTGAATACTTTACTAAAGTCCAAATACACAGTGTCCACAACCTTTCCCTTGTCAACTGAGTCGGTCACCTTTAGTAGGAGGAGATCAGTTTGGTCAAGCAGGACCTGCCTTTCATGACCCCATGCTGAATGGGCCTGATCACCCAGGTTTCCTGCACATGCTTTGTGATCTCGCTCAGTATGATCCATTCTGTGACCTTCCCTGACACACTGGGGTCAGGCTGACAGGCCTGTAGTTCCCAGGATCTTCCTTTCTGCTCTTTTTGTAGAGGTGTCACGTTGGCCAACTCCAGTCCTCTGGGACCTGTCCACTAGACCAGGACTGTTGACAGATGATGGAGAGCGGTTTGGTGAGCTCCTCTGCCAGCTCCTTCAGCACTCCTGTGTTGAACCCATCCTGCCCCATAGACTTGCGTATGCGTAAGTGGAGCAGGAGGTCACTAACTATTTCCTCT